ATGCCTTTTGATCATTTGTATGTCTTCCTTAGAGAATTGCTTGTTTAGGTCTTCTGCCCATTTTTGGATTGGGTTGTTTATTTTTTCTTATTGAGTCATATGAACTGCTTATATATTCTGGAGATAAAGCCTTTGTCAGTTTCATTTGCAAATATTTTTTCCCATTCTGTAGGTTGTCTTTTTGTTTTACTTATGGTTTCCTTTGCCGTGCAGAAGCTTGTAAGTTTCATTAAGTCCCATTTGTTTATTCTTGCTTTTATTCCTTCTAGGAAAAATTTTTTGAGATGTATGTCAGATAATGTTTTGCCTATGTTTTCCTCTAGGAGGTTTATTGTATCTTGTCTTATGTTTAAGTCTTTGATCCATCTTGAGTTGATTTTTATGTATGGTATAAGGGAATGTTCTAGCTTCATTGTTTTACATGCTGCTGTCCAGTTTTCCCAACACCATTTGCTGAAGAGACTGTCTTTATTCCATTGTATATTCTTGCGTCCTTTGTCGAACATTAGTTGACCACAAGTTTGTGGGTTCATTCCTGGGCTCTCTATTCTGTTCCATTGGTCTATATGTCTGTTTTTGTACCAATACCATGCTGTCTTGATGACAGTAGCTCTATAGTATTGCCTGAAGTCTGGGAGAGTTATTCCTCCAGCCTCTTTCTTTCTCTTCAGTAACACTTTGGCAATTCTAGGTCTTTGACTTGTTTTTATATTATTATTTTAAAACAGATGACTATCTACATATATTAATGTGCAAGAAAGCAATCCCAAAGCTCACAGATTTCTCAGTCTTTAGGAAGCAGAGGAAAACAGACAAAGCTGTTGAATGTTACAAGGTAAACTTTGTAAGATTTTAACTTAGCCTTTGCACAGCTGTACATGCATAATGCCCAGATTAATCTATATGATAAATAATTCAAATACGTTTTATGGCTGTCTTGAAAATAAACACTGGTATCATAGTACTCTGAAGTGATATAGTGTGGGACAGATTTTATTTATTTGGATGTCTTTTTAATTTTTGTTTGTTTGTTTTAGCAGGGGGGATAATATATCTTATTTATTTATTTAATGGATGTACTGGGGATTGAACCTGGGACCTCATGCATGCTAAGCATGTGCTCTACCACTGAAATATACTCACTACCCTCAGTTTTTAATTTTTTGCCCAAAGTATGCAGTATTTTATCATTAAGAGCTTAGCATTTGTAATAGAAGATTAACACCTATGAATTTTAAGTCTACCATGGTCAGAAAGGCTGTTCTTTAATGCAGGGTTTCCTTCCTCCCTCCCTCCTTCTATCTTTCCTTCCTTTCTTTTCTTGTTTTTTGCATTTACCTAGTAAAAACTTAATTTTTATTTAATTCATCTTCAAAAAGCTTCCAGATACTTTAATTTTAACAACTTTGAAATAACATGCTGTCATTTAGAAATAGAGTTTTTAATGGGGTCATTCAATAAATGTTTTAACTTTCATGTATGAATGTATGGACTTTAGGAATCCTAGTAATTCATTCTTTCTTTTCTGATGTCAGCGTTCAGTGGAATTAAGCCCACCACAAAAAGATGTTGTGTTGAAGATTGTAGAATTGCTCTGTAAAAAATGGTGTTAGTGACAGAAGAGCAAAATATTCTGGGTTGAAAGAGCAGCTAAACTTTTTCTGGAAAGTCCCTCAATTTATAAACTGAAGATAAAAAAGCTGAGCAGAACCAAACATACAATAAAAGCAGTTGGAGAGAATTTAAGACACAAGTATTTCTTTTTTCTTTTGCCCCACCCTACACAACTATTTCTAATATTTGGAGTTTAAATGACTTTTCAGTAGCAAATCTTAAATGGGCGATAGGGGGTTGGTGGGAAATGGGTGAAGGGGAACAGGAAAGTACAAACTTTTAGTTATAGATAAATAAGTTCTTGGGAGGTAATGTATAGCATGTTACTATAGTTAAAAATACCAGACTGTACGTCTGAAAGTTGCTAAGAGAGTAGATCTTAAAAAGCTTTCATCACAAGAAAAATAATTCGTAACTGTGTGAGGTGATGGATGTTAAAGTACCGTGGAAGTCATTTCACAATATACACATAGGTCACAATATACTGTTTCGTTAGGCACTAATTTGCTTTACAAATAGCATCTCCTTTACCCTTACAGAATGATGACTATTTTAGGGATTTTACTGTTTCGTAGCTAGATAGTGGAGATACGATTTAAAATGAGCTGTATCTGATAAAATTTTTGCTTCATGGGGTGAAAGTTACCCATAGGATGACAGTTTAGAGTTATTATAAAGTTTTTAAAGAATTATTATCTGAAAATGGAAAGCACTGTTTATGGGAGAGTGAGGTTTTTAAGTGAAACTTTATTTTGTTTTTTTTTTACATTTTTTTATTGAGTTATAGTCATTTTACAATGTTGTGTCAAATTCCAGTGTAAAGCACAATTTTTCAGCTATACATGAACATATATGTATTCATTGTCACATTTTTTTCACTGTGAGCTACCATAAGATCTTGTATATATTTCCCTGTGCTATATAGTATAATCTTGTTTATCTATTCTACATTTTGAAATCCCAGTCTGTCCCTTCGCACCCCAAGTGAAACTTTAAAGACAGCTTCTCTAGTAGGTTATAGGCAGTTACTAAAAAGGATAGATAGTTGTTGCTAATGTATTAACTGATTCTGATGGTTATTCTTTACTGAGTAAAATATAGTTTACTTAGTGATTCTTTTGGAGAGCGAATTTCCAAATGTGCTAGGTAAACATAATTTTAAGTGTATATTGTTTTTAATAAGACCTTCCCCCTATACGTTTCTGATAAAATTTTTAAAACTTTTTTTTATAGTTCTCTCTTCTTTTTTTATTTAAATATGTATGTATTATTTACTTATAGGAGGGGGAGTAATTCAGTTTGTTTATTTATTTATCTTTTTAGAGGAGTTATTAGGGATTGAACCCAGGACCTTGTGCATGCTAAGCATGTGCTCTACCACTGAGCTATACCCTCCTCTCACATTGTTCTTTTAATTATACTTTGACTTAGTAATATTTCAAGACTTGTGCATCTATAATTTTTAAGGAGATAATTTTGCAGTTTTCTATTTTTGCAATATCCTTGATTGTATCTTTTAATATAAGCATTGAGCCAATTTATAACTGGCAAGCTTTCCCATCTTTTCCAGTGATTTTTCTGGTTTTGGTCCATTTTGTTATTATTTGTGGAAAGAATCCTTTTCCTTGATTGTTTCAAGTGTATTGGCATATTATATTTTCTCATTCTCATAATGTCTTTCATATATCTGATTATAGCATCACCTAAATTGGACAAGATGCTTAATTTGTGGAATACATTTTACTGAAGATATATACCTACGTGATTAATCTAATTCAGAATAGTGTTCTTCCCTCTTACATATTTTCACTTGTTTCACAGTTCCTGCCACTTACTGAAGCACATGTAAAACTTTAAAAAATTACCTTCAGATATTACATTATGTTGACATTCATAGCTTTGCTGATGTCAAGTTGCTTTATTTTTAATTTATTAAAGTAGCCGCAAGTCACAGGATCATGTCAGCAAATATAGCAGTATAGTGGGTAGAATTATCCACAAAAAGAAAGCCAAATAGAAACTGATGTTAGGTTGCTTAATACTCGGTGTAACTTTTTCAGAGTATTCCGTCAGTGCTGTACAGTAAAGTGTCAAGTAGGCACGACTCAGATCCCATGTGGGAGGCTTGCCCTGAGATTTATTTGCCCTCTGACATTCACTCCTTGCTGCCATTTATCATTTTTCAGTGAGGAAAAACTCATTTTTAAACTGCATCTCTTACATTGCTTTATTCTTAGATCTGACAGGAATTTGTGCTTGTCTTTTCAAAGAAGCAGTTTTTGGTTTTATCGCTTCTTTTTTTGTTTGTGTTTTTTATTTACCTTCAGATGTTGTCATTACTTTCCTTTAAATTATTTTTCTTGTGTGTTGACTGCTTGCTTTATTTAAGTAAATTTAGTTTGTTCTAACAAGTACGAAGTAGTTTTTTGAAACTGTAAATCCCCCGGAATCAATTTCATAGGTTTTCATGGGGAATTTTCACACTTTCGTAAATTTTTAAAAAATAATTTAGAATTTCAATCTTGTCTTCTTTGATAAGAGCTTGTAGGATTTAATTTTTTTTCAGGTCACCAGTTCCACCAGGATTTTTTTTTAACTTATTTCTGGCATTGTATGGACCTTTTCAATCTTAAACTTTTCATTTTGGTTGGTTTTAAGCTCAGAGGAGGCCCCCTCTTTCTATTACGGATTGATTTCTGTAGTGATGACTTTTTCCTCATCTGTTCATTTTTGTTGTTGTTCATTTCCTTAATTTTATTTTTGTTTTACTTTGTTTTCTTTTGTTCTTTTTTCCCCCTATTTTCTCCTTAAAGTCCTGTTCACACATAGGTCTATCAGTCATTCCTTGTCTGTTATGTAATATTTCATACAGAAACTAAGGGAAAATAAGGAACACCTGTTATCTGCTGCCCGCCATTGTCGGTGATTTGCATTTTATTATATTTCCTTCCTAGTTTGTAGTGCTTTCGTTAAACTCAGACAGAGTGGAAGCTTCCTAGGTTCTGTTACCTAGAACTGTTATTGTGAAATTGATATTACTGACATGCATATCTTTATACTTCTACTGTATAAATTCATCCTCCTGTTCCACATAGAGCAGTGGTTTTCAGCTCTTGGCTTCATATTAGAATTTTCTGGGAGCTCTGCCCCCTCCCCCGGGGGGAGCTTTTTAAAGAAAAAAACACCCGACAGTTGTATTGTGCTCTTTGGGTATGGTACCCAGGCATTCGTATTTTACAGAAGCTTTTGGTGCGATTCTAATATGTATCCGGTGTTAAGAACCATTGCTCTAGAGGAATTTTGAGATTTTCTGCCATACCTCCCAGGATATTTGAGTTAATTAAAATTTTTTCCTGCTTGGGAGTTCCTGAACCAGTTATTTTTGAGCCCTGGCACCTGTGGGTCTATTCTCAGGAAGCCCCCAAACAACCAGAGATTGTGCTTTTCTTGTTCCAGAGCATTCTTTTGCAGTATCTTCTTAAGAATTTTTGTCTTTTTTTTTCCTGTTTTTTTTCCCCTCCCCATTAAACCTGGCTTAGAAGGAATTAACTGTTTTAGTCACTCATTTTGTTCTTTCTCCAAGATGATGAGTTACTTTTGAACTGATTCGTGACATTTTTGCCTTCTCCCAAGTTTTTAACATCAGGTGTACGGTTCTCTATGGAAGGGATTCCTCAGCAAGTGATGAAGAGTTGAGAGCTTTCTGCCCTGTAAGATAGTGGGGAATGTGTTAGCAGGTTGGCTCATCTCAGTTGAGATGAGGATGAAGCAGCTTTTAGTCTTCACCTCCTCTGAGGGGTGAGGGAGAGTGGGAATGGGGAATCCTTTCACTCCTAACAGCCTATCGCTTGAGGACAGTGGGGTCAGTGTGATTCTCCCAAGCCTGTCAGTACCACCTGGCCAAGAAGTCTGAGCACACTATTTCCCTGAGAAGGAAGGTGAGGGAGAGAAGTCAAAACAGGTGCTTAGTCTGCTTTGGCTAATTTGGAAGTAGCTGATTTGGCCTCTTTGAGGACATTTTTAGGTTCACAAGTTTTTTTTCCTTAAAAATTCTTTTTAAATTTTTTATTCTGGGAGGTTGGGGAGGGGGTTGGTTTCTTTCTTTCTTTCTTAATGGAGGTACTGGGGATTGAACATAGGACCTTGTGCATGCTAAGCACACTCTACCACTGAGCTATACCCTTCCCCCAACCTCAAAGTTTTTTTTTTTCATGTGATAGAATGTTTTATGACATGAACTACCTTTGGAGCTGAGCTGGGTTTTCAAATTCTAATGAAGAACCTGCTTCATTACTGTTCTTGTATAGTTTATTAATATCAGGAAGCCTATCTGGGTACATCCAGGCTTAAACATTACCACGTGTCCTGTGTGCTCACACGAGTTTAACTGACTTGCAGAAGAATACAATTTTGAACATTTTTACTAGAAGTATGTCACATCATTGGAAATTGGATTCGTTGATAAACTAATGTAACAGGGATTAAAAGCTTATGAAAGTACATACTACTGTTGAAATATCCGAATTCATTTGTCAGATAAAAACTTCCAGAAACACTCACAGATTTAGTAAATAAACTTATGGTTGGGGGAGTGGAAAATTGATAATTTGAGATGTGCACATAGTAACTACTATATATAAAGTAAATAAAAAACAAATTTCTTCTGTATAGCACAGGGAACTATATTCAATATCTTGTAGTAATATATAATGAAAAAGAATAGGAAAACAAATTTATGTGTATGTATGACTGAAACATTACGCTGTACACCAGAAATTGACACATTGTAACTGACTATACTTCAACAACAACCACACACACAAAAAAACTTCCAGCAAATACTAGAGCGTTCATGTTTGGAGCAAAGGCAGCCAGTGGAAGGTCGGTGAAGATGAAGATGGCAATGATGAACAGGTGGTTCATAATGAAGACGTCCACTCTGAACTGACAGTGTCACTACTAGAGGTAAATATGAAAGACTCCCCAGTACTACTGTTTCACAGGGGCTTCCAAGGACGGCGCCCCGGCCTGATCCTGGAGGGACGCGGTGCAGCTGAGGAGCGTCAGGCACGCGGTCCTGCAAAAGAAAAGGAAAGGAAAACGAAGCACCGCGCGACTGTCCGCCTAACGCAGCCAGAGCCCACGAGCACAGACGACGGCGCCGGAGGCGGGGCGGAGCGTGGCGTGCGTGCGTCGTGACGCGATCCGCTGCGTCCGTCCCGCCGCAAGTCAAAGCGCTGTTGCCAGAGAGAAGACTGTGGCGGCGGCTATGAAACCCAGCGTCGTGAACCTGCTTGGGCAGGACTTGGTGGTGGAGCGCCTCAAAAGTCGCTACGGACTGGGGGGCGGCTGCCCCGTCGAGGTGAGGCCTTGCCTTGCCTGCCGGTCCACGCCAGGTTCGCGGGTCGCCGAGTCGGGGCGTGAGGGTGCGGGGGCGCGAGGCGGATTCCCTGGGGGCGGCGGCGGCGGCGGCGGCGTGCGCATGCGCGTGCGGGGAGTGGGTTCCCGGTGTGAGACTTGCGTACGGGACAGAATTGCCTCGGTCTCCGTCCAAAACGGGTAGTCCGAGTCGGTGTCACGCCGGAAGGTGCGGGCGCGCAGCCCGGGGGATTCTCGGTGGCCGCCTCGGTCCGCGGACCGGGCGCGCGTGTCTGGGCAGCCGGGGCGGGGACGAGGATGGCTGTTCTGGAAGGGGGTCTGCTGTGCTGGCTGGGCTGCGCTGGGGTCGGGCAGCACACGTTCACGGGGCGTGTCACTCTCTTTTCAGCCGGGGCGTTGGCGGTCGGACCGCGCGGAGCGAGCATCAGAAGCGGCCTCCCCGCACCCCAGGTAGAGCGACGGGCCCCAGGTGTCCGCGCTCCGCTGGGAAGGGCGCGCGCTCAGATAATATCTCAGTGTTTTAGCAGAGAGGTGCTCGCTCTTTCTTTCATTGCATCGGATGTGGTTGATATCCAATGTGTTTAATTGATTATCCAGATGTGTTTAATGTTTGAAACACATAAAGGAAAAAAATAAAGTGTTGAACGTTTGAGGAGTGGCGGGAAATTGCTATGAGGTAGAAAGAAGGCTGGATTCTAAGTTTTAGTCTTTCTACTTTCTGTGTTGCTTGGGAAAGTTCACCTAACATCTCTGGCCTTTAGGTTCCTAACCTTCAGAATAGGGTTAAAGGTACCGCCTCTGCTTACTTCCCACAATCATTCAAATAGTAATTTTGTCAAGTAGAGCACATAAAGCTTGCCTTGTACTAATAGCACGGTTCTCAGGGAATTTCTGGGTTCTGTGTATTTCTGTGTTCAACATTTTTGTAAGCCATGAGATGGTTAGTGTGCTTGTCATTAAGCCAAAGGAAAAGGGAAAAATAAACTGAGTTAGAAGTTTTACACTCTCAGAGCTCATCAAAATAAGTTAATATAATCAACCGAATATTTTTGTAATTTCTTCAGTTCTCTTTCATGTCAGTGTTTGTTAGGAAGTGATAAGGTTGTGGCGGGATGTGGTTAATCCTTAAACACTGTAGGAAGATGGTCCAGACCCCTTGAGGTCTGGCTTCCTTTGCCCTGAACAAGCAGTTGCTCTCTGTAGCTGGCTGCGTGTCCTAATTTTGTCAGCATTTCAGGGAAAGAGGTAACCAGGGGTGGTGCCCTCCCTGCCTTGGCTGCAGGATCCGGTTGTCCCGTTAGGAGCCTCGGGGCATCTCTTCTGCACACAACATACCTCTCCCGGGGCATCTCTTCTGCACACAACACACCTCTCCCGTCCTGCTGTCCACCTTGTTGTCATTCATCTCAGCACATGTGGAACATGAGCAGTTCTGCTGGACTTGTGCTTCTTGCCACATGGTAGATTTTCCTTTTGAAGGCAATTGAAAATAAAGGATAACCTATGACAGAAAGTGTTGGATGTGTTTAAACATTGACAAAACTAGGGAATATTCAGACCAGGGATTGGTGGGATGGGAATCCAGAGAGGTGGCAGAGCACTGAAAGTGTCTTTCTCTTTAAGGACTGAACTGAGTGAAGGGAAACTTTGTTCTTTTTAAAAAATTCATATTTTTTATTTTGGCTCCTTCGGTCTGTCCAAGATGGGGAGCATGGTCGGAGACCTCCGTCCTTGAAGCTGGGGCCCCTTAGCTGGAGGCTAACACAAGTTAAAACCATGGCTTGGTATTAGCAGAGTGTGAGTTCTGACAGTACAGTGTTGGTGGAGTAATGAAGCAGGGGGAGCTCGCTCCTCCACTGCACTTTGGGAACCAGTTTGGCATCACTAATACGGTTGAACCTATGCCTGTACCCTGTGGTGCTGCAGTGTGGCTACAGTCACATAGCCCAGAGGAACCCTTGACCAGGAGCCAGGTGCAAGTCCGTGTGGCATCTGTGCAGACAGCGATACCCGTCTGCACCTGTGCTGACGTGTAAACCACAAGCAGGTGAAGCCAGGAGGATTTGTGTCCCTGATTCTGTCATTAGGAATGTATTATTTAACAGAGGAGGTTATAGCATATCATAATTATATGATTATTTAATTACAGACATTATATAAAGTTTAAAAACAGGCAAATAACTTTTTTAACATAAATAGTAAAAATTAAAAAGAAGTAAAACAATGATAAACACTGTATTTGAGTTAGTGGTTAATTTGGCTTAAGGAATAGAAGGGAATGTGGTCAGGGGTTTGTAGGTAACTTTCCAGTTCTTGGCCGAGGCCACGAGTGTTAATCCATGAGTGTTGTCATGTACTCATTTTTTAAAATAATTTCACATTTTACAGAGACGCTGCCAGAAGACACAAAGAATTCCTGTAGCCTTCACCCAAAGTTTCGCTATATCATTCTTTCTTTCTGCGTATAATACTTGAAACTTCTAAACAGTACTGCAATTTATATTTAAAATAATTCTTCCTGAAGATTACTCCATCTGAGGACATTTTAAACTAAATTAAGGGAGTTGTTAATTTAAATTTTATTTTGTTAGCACTTTCCTGGCCAACTAATTTGGTCTCAAATTCAAGAAATTGGACTGACTGTTTTAGGGATGCAAGTGACTCTCCTGCGAGATGGGTCCCTTCCCCGGCGTCCAAAGCATCAAATAGGCAGAGTGCTTCCATATCAGATCAACCAAATACACTATGAACTGTTCAAATCCATCAGAAACTGCAGGTGGGCACTCAGTGCTGAATTGAGAATTCTGAAATATTTATGTTATAAGCAGTGAACATTTCGAAAATATGAATGAGGTGTTTCATTTTAATTATTTTAGATCAGTATGCCCAGACAAGGTCGGAAGGGAGCAAGCACAGTGCATCATAACTCCCTGTGGAGTAGGAAAATGTGTGGCTGAGAGGAAAGCGTAAACGGTGTTTTTTATGTGTTGATGTGTTTCTGAGATTTTGGACTGTCTTGCGTTTTATGTTTATTTTCATCCCATCCTATTCCATCCTTGCTCAAGAAATAAAATTTGCTGGTAAAATGTGCTTTTTGAAGTAGGTATTCTAGATTCATTGTTTTAAATACCTATATGTAAAAAGGTCTCTTGTCAGCTAGTCAAAATTCATTTCAAAGCAGTGCCTTTATCTGTCTTTATCCACCTAACTTCATCTTCTTTGGGATTTTTTGTTTGTTTCTTTCTAAAGGATGTAATTCATGTATTTATCAAGTGTCCAGGGAGTACAAAGGGAAGCAAAAGTGTATGTAATAACAATTTTTGTTGGAGAGTCTTCTAGTTGAAAGTAAATTTTTATACACATGAAATACAATTTTTAAAAATCAATAACTCATTTTGTCTAAAAAATTCAGTTATAATTACCATAGCATTTTGGAAGATTATTTTGGCCTAAAATAACGGGAAAAATTCAAGGAGAGACCTTGCTTGGTAGCTTGACTTAGAGGTAAAATTGAAAGAGGAAAGGAGTGGAGAGGACATTCTAGGTACAAGGAATTGGAGGTGAGAAATTTTTGGAAGAGAGTGATTTATCAGATTGTGAATTTATCAGCCTGTCTGGGGAAAGAAGATACCGAAAATTCAGGCAAAGGAGTGCCAGAGTGAAAAATAGTGCAGTAGGGAGATGGCTTTGATAATGTTTTATAGGATAAGAAAGAATTAAGGGTCCTAAGGACTTATCTGTCATCTTCAGCAAACACAATAAAGTGTAAATATTTAATTTAAAAAATGAAGTACAGTGGATTAATCTGGTTTAATTAATCTGTAGTTTACCCTGACTTTGAAAATTACTTTGTGTTCTTCTGTTGCGTTAGTTGCCGTTAAATATATGTATTCTTGTTATGCTGTATGATTTCATTCATTCAACAAATATTTGAACAGCAGTTAATATGCTTTTTCATGCTAAGTGCTGTGTATATAGAAGTAAATAGATTATATATGATCTTTGCCATGAATAGTTTATCAGAAGTGAATTGTAAGTACCCATATACAGTTTTATAAATTTAAGTGTATAATACAGTTATAATGTAAACAACTGATTGGAGTGGATTGAGAGACTGGGCAAGGTATTTCTAAGAAAATAACATTAAAGTCAAATGCTGAAGGATGGGTAGGATTTGCCCAGTGAAAAGGGTACATTGTAGACAGACATTCTAGTATGGGAAGCCCCTGAGGCCTGGTAACATACTCGTTAAAGGGAAATGTAGTGGGTAACTCTGAGGAGTTGCTTGAATAAATGTGAGCTGAGATAAATGGATTGGAGGGGACAGGTGTGGAAGTTGGTAGCCCAGTCAAGATATTCTACTGCAGGAGTCCAGGTGAGAGATCATGTGGACTGGAGTGGTGGCAGAGAAATAGAAGTGAGTAGACTGGAGATTTACTTTGGACTTGGCATAATGTATTGTGTGTGGTACAGAGAGAGTAAGGTGTCTAGGCTGATTTCCCGCATTTCTAGTTTGTACCACTTGGAGAAAGAGTGGATTTAGGGAGAAAGATGGAGATTTTCATCTGGAATGTATTAGGTTTGAGAGTTAGATGGAGATGCAGTGAAAGTAGTTGTATCAGCCTGGCAATCAGAAAATAGATCCTGTGTCTAAGTTTGGGCATCATTCATTTGTGGATATTTAAAGCCGTGGGCAGTAGTTGAGGTCTGGAGAGCAATTAGGGTGTGAAGCAAAGCTGTTGTCTTATGGTGCCCTGGGTTAGGATGACGGCCCTGAGGGAGAAAGTGGGTAGTTAAGAGATGGGATTAGTAGGTCTTGGAGGTTGTTTTAACATGGGAGATGTGCAGTAGGGTTTCAGTTAAGGGGGAAATGCAGGCCAGTTTTTGGCTGTTGGGAATGGGCTGTTTTTTGCTGAGGTAGGGACAAAACTGGAAGAGGAGAGGATTAATCAAGTCTGTTTTTTTTAAAAAATTCACAATGCTAACTTTTTTTTTGCAGAAAGTAATGCCTTTGTTATGAGTGTCTTCTTTTAACTTATTTTACTAGGTAACACTGTATTTTAGTTTTTAAAAGTTCAATTTATAAAATACTTACGACATAGAAAAACAGAGTTACAACATCAACTGTGTGCTCATTGCCTATATTTTAAATACTAATATTAATATTTCTCTTTGATATTTTTAAATAAAAATTCTCAATTATAGTTGAAGCACCGTTCTCCCATCCCGTTTGCTCTCTTTCCAGGATTAAGGGCTCCCCTGAAGTTGGTGTAGGTCCTTTCTGTCATGTTTTAACCCTTCTGTGTTTTCATATGTATGTATTGTTGAGGGCGTTTTAAAATTTTTCATAATGAATGACGTATTGTGAATATCTTTTTGCAACTTCCTTGCTTCAGTATTATGTTTTTGAGATTTATGTATGTGGAAAATGTAGATCTAGTTTTTCTTTA